TGCAAAATAAATAATCAGATCATGAGATTATTAACGTAATGAGACAAAACCAGTTTGAGTTAATTAGCAATTCGGGTAAATTAAGTAAAGGTGGAGGGGAATGAATAAAATTCTTAACATTCCGTGCCGAGGGGGCTATGTAGACATCTCCAGAACGGGATTTTGAAGCATGCTTCAACTGCAGAAGAACATTCTGATCTTTCACTGGTGGATCTCAGTTTAGATGCAGGAGTAGTTTGTATGGATTTAGGTGGTCTTTCCCATAGATATGGTGCCCAACTGCTTTGGACATTAAAGGTTAAAAACAGGGGGGATCAGAAATGAATAGATAAGCTGGTATTTCTGGAAGAGAATAGGTATAATAAGTTCTGGGTGCCTACCTCCTTACTAATATTTAGCATTCCACACAGTCTTATTTCCTGATTGGAAATGAAGATTGTTTTTACAAAACTAATTGATTTCTAGCTTGGGTTGCTGCTCAAGTGGCTAGCCATAATAATTATAATGATAAAACAGAAAATTGCCCTCCCCTCCAACATAAAAGCAAATGGATTGAAGCTCACCAAGAAAAGTACAGTGAAAAAGGAAGACAATGGAATGAACAGGACCCACAGCTCAGCCCCAGAACCAAATGTGGTTGTTTAAACTTTTTTTAAAAAAATCTATCAGAAAAATAACATAGAAAGGGAGCTGGCTTTGTGGTCCATCTTGAACCCCTGCCAAATGGGCCTCTGATGGTGATGACAAAGAAGGAAGTCCTCCAAGATCTTAAAGGTGGACCAGCTGATTTGGGAGAACATGGCCTCTCCATCAACGCTAGTCCAAATCATGTAGTTTTGTGGGATCACAACCAGCTCTTTGAACTGAAATCAGAAACAGATTAAGATATAGTGAAACTGCAGAGTCAAGGAAGTTCCCATGTAACCATACAGTTGGCTCTAGGCAGTAGTCTAGCTGCAGTATTTTAGACTGTCTGAAGCTTCCAGACATTTTTCAAGCATAAGTTTGCAAGCAAAAAGCCGGTTCTTCCTTTTAAAATTAGACCTCGGCGTCATAGGCTGGTGGTTTTCAGCCAGTGATAGTTGGACCACCAGTGGGATTCAGAAGTAGCTTACATTCAGCAATTTCTTGAAACTTTAGTCTTTAAAACTGAATGTAAATGATAAATGGGATAACCAAATAGCTGTAATCATATACTTTCTCTTGTTGGAGGAAAAAGTGGGGAGAGATTGATTTTATCATGGTAGGATTTGGATTCTTTGATGGAGCAGTTTGATAGAATGTTAGATGTGAAAGTCTGAGAACAAATTACCACCCTCTTGTGCGTCTGCTTAAAAGCAGCCTTCCTTGCCTTGCAAGAAAACAGCATCTCTTTTAAAATGGCACTTGTCAGTTGCAATTTATGTAAGCTCTTCCATTTTTAATATCTCTATTTTAACATCAGGATGTCCTTTCTTCCAGGAAAAGTTTCAGATCATGCTAATCAGTTAGTTAAATCTTGCTACTCTAATAATAATGCCCTTCGCTCTGGAATGGATGAAAGAGGAGGAGCTAAGTATGGAGAACCTCCTTTCTCTCCATCATCATCTTCTCATTTTGCTGAAGCTTGAGAATTGGAGAGTTAATGCTAGTGATAAGTCAAGTGAACTCTGCACTCAAGTCCTTGGAATGTAGCAGCTGGGGTGTCTAAAGCAGTATTTCCCTAGAGTCATACATAATAATCATCCATGGGGGATGCCTGTGATCTGCCGTGGTGTACCCATGTCATTGTGATGGAATGGAATTATGAAGGCCAGGCTCAGGGAGATAAGCATTTTCTTAGCTCACTAAGAGAGTGTGGGAACTACAAGAGGATGAGGCTGGCACCTCCCTGAGGAATTCACGGTGTTGTGACTGGCTGGCT